TCCGTTCGCTCGTTGAACTCCGACTGGAATCCTGCATCCGACTGGAATTCTGCAAATTCTGGAATCCTGCAGACGTTTCGCCAAAATCTCACTTGGCATCTTCAATGTTCGAAGTATATATATATATATATATATATATATATATATATATATATATATATATATATATATATGTCAGAAATCATATATATATATATATATATATATATATATATATATATATATATATATATATATATATATATATATATATATATATATATGATTTCTGACATATATATATATATATATATATATATATATATATATATATATATATATATATATATATATATATATATATATATATATATATATATATATATATATATATATATATATATATATATATATATATATATATATATATATATATATATATATATATGATTTCTGACATATATATATATATATATATATATATATATATATATATATATATATATATATATATATATATATATATATATATATATATATATATATATATATATATATATATATATATATATATATATATATATATATATATATATATATATATATATATATATATATATATATATATATATATATATATATATATATATATATATATATATATATATATATATATATATATATATATATATATATATATATATATTATTGGATGTCATTTAAACAACGGAATAAACAAAATTTTAAAACGTTATGTTTTTTATTTAACTTTGACAATTCATCATGAAGTTAGTATATTTAAAGGAAAAGAAAAATCCTCCAATTATGGAGCTTTTAAGAGGATTCAATTTTTAACATCATAAGGGGTGTTTTTTCGATGTATAGAACTTTAAGTTGGAATAAAACAACAATGGATTATTCGATTGAAATGAATTTTATTTATCCTAAAGATAATTTGTGGCATTACATTTTAAATATGATTTCTGACATATGACCATCACGGCTGGCGCGGATGTAGTCCAATTTTCGATGACTTTTTTGTGGCCGTATATCGGCAATAACACGGCGAATGTTGCCTTCCAAATGGTCAAGCGTTTGTGGCTTATCCGCATAGACCAATGACTTTACATAGCCCCACAGAAAGTAGTCTAGCGGTGTTAAATCACAAGATCTTGGAGGCCAATTCACAGTTCCAAAACGTGAAATTAGGCAGTCACCAAACGTATCTTTCAATAAATCGATTGTGGCACGAGCTGTGTGACATGTTGCGCCGTCTTGTTGAAATCACATCTCCTGGACATCATGGTTATTCAATTCACGAATGAAAGAGTTAGTAATCATAGCTCTATACCGATCACCATTGACTGTAACGTTCTGACCATCATCGTTTTTGAAGAAGTACGGACCAATGATTCCACCAGCCCATAAAGCGCACCAAACAGTCAGTTTTTCTGGATGTAAGGGTGTTTCGACATACACTTGAGGATTAGCTTCACTCCAAATGCGGCAGTTTTGTTTGTTGACTTAGCCATTCAACCAGAAGTGCGCTTCATCGCTAAACAAAATTCGCTTACGAAAATCGGGAACAACAGCAATCTCGTTTTGGGCCCATTCAACGAATCTACGCCTTACTTGATGATCGTTTGGCTTCAATTCTTGCACGAGTTGGATTTTGTAACCACGTAAACCAAGATCCTTCCGCAAAATCTTCCATAAAGTGGATGGACACAGATCCAATTCCTGTGCTCGATGGCGGATGGACTCATTCGGGTCTTCCTTAATGCTACGCTCTACAGCAGCAATAGCTTCTTCTGTACGCACCGTTCGGCGTCTCTGGGGGTGCGAGTTATCAATAAGAGTAAACGTGGTGCGAAAACGTTCCATGGTTAATCGAATTAACTGCTCTGATGGACGATTTTGTCGACGATAAAATGGACGTAGTGCACGATACGTATTCCGTACAGAACCATTATTTTCGAAATAAAATTGCACTATTTGCAAGCGTTGTTCAGGCGTGAGTCTATTCAGGATGAATTGCCAAACCCATACTGAGAATAAATCACTTGACAGCTGTTAAATGGGTCGCCATCTTGAACAATAATGCCAACTTAAAGTTCTATACATAGAAAATAATAACCCTGTATAAGCAAGAAAAAGCAGTTCCTAACTTTTAATTTTATTTTGTTTGTACTGATGAGACATAGATATTTGAAAATGGTATGAAAAATTTCTGTGGGAAACTTAAATTGTAAATTTCACTTTACATACCGACTAGTTCACTAGATTTTAATTGTAGCTTATAGCACGTAAATATAAGATAAATTGTCTAATATATTCGTTTTTGGGTCTATTTTTGCAAAACAACACGAATACAACATTCGCTGACATGACCATCAGAATAGACAAACGGTAAGATCTCCGAAAACATCCGATTGCTTCCAAACCCGTACGGAAAAATCCCGGAAATGTTCGAACTGACTGCGATCCGTGGGAAACGAAGTTAACGCGGTAAAGTGACGCTTCTCGCACGCTAGATCGGTGTGTAATTATGCATTTTACAGACGGGAGAAGAAAATATATATTAATGGATGGTTTAGTCCTGGCCGCCATCGAATTATATAACAGCAGGGGGCGGTGGACGCGTCGAAATGTACAACACGCGTGCGGTATAAATAACCGCCGAAATTGCGATTCTTTGTCAAATATCGGTTTGTATCAACGGCCCAACCAACCACCCTCCCCTCGTTCTGTTCTTTTTTTTTTCGTGTTTTTTTTTTCCGGTCCGGGTTATTCGTCGCCCGGAATTTATTTGTCACAAATTGCCTTCCCTATTGGTCTACACGGTCGCCTGTCGTCATTTGTTTTACGCGAAATTTACGGCCTAATTATAGATGGCCGCGTCGTCGGCCGTAACGCGTCGCTTTTATTTACGAGCTTAAAAACGTCGCTGTCGGGCGGACACGACATTTTCAAAAGTGCGCCGCCCCCGCCTCCCGGTCGGAACATATCGCCCCCCTCGCGATCGCATTGTAACCCCCCTCCCTAAGCTTCAAAAATTAATACAAAGAAGAATAGTAAAAATATTGTTGCCGATCCTCAATGGCCTTTTAGGTTAGGTTCACTTTGGTTAGACGCAGTGACACGTTCGAGGATACTTTCTGTTGCAATATCGCAATAATAAAAAAGTTGCTTTCGAAAAATCGTCGCTGGGCGAGGCAAGTTCGTAGCGCGTAGCGCAGAGCAGCTTTTTATTTTCAAAAAGAAGTCGCTTCGCGTTGTTTTTTTATCGTGCTCCTGCGAACCACTATGGAACGTTCGCAAAATCGATGTAATTATTTTGTGCACACACTCTGTATTAGGAGTCTTTTACTTATCGCTGAATTTCGAAGTCACGGCAGACTTTGATAAATATAAAAAATTGTACAAGTAATAACGATTTCCAATTATATTTTTCCAAGTATCTCGCGCACCCTATATGATAGGTGAAACCTGAAACTCTCTCTCTCGACACAATATTCGAGTCTGTTTAAATCAAATTATGACATGTTTTACAGCTAAAAATTTATCCACGGAAACGGCAATTTCCAGGATGTTTTAGATTTTTTTACCCATCATTGACACACCCTGTACATCCTCAATGGAGGTTATAGTCCCGGATCTTCAGGTTTTCTGGTCCAAGAATTTTTCCAAAATAGTGGATTTCGAGAAAATAAGTTTTTCCTGAAACCTTGCAATGCGCCGTAATAATCTACCGCAAAAACAAAAATTGTAGCTCTTGATGCGGCCAATGACACTGTTTGAACCGATTAGCCATATTTTGTACGATTTTTGATTTGCAGTTAATATTGAAATATTAACTTAATTAATTGATAAATACCCTCTGTATAATCGAAAAAATGCCTGAAATAAATGTGCGCTGGCTCTTCGGCGTCGTCTGGTTAACGAATTTTGCCGATCGGGTGAACGATTATTGAGGAAAACATATTTTTCTGGAAGCCCAAATTACCAAAAAAAAAATAAAAAAAAATTAAAAAATACTTGGCAATATTTGATTGCACCCAATTTCTACTGTTTAAATGTGGACGCGGACCTTAATTTATTTGCTAAATTTGAAGTTTATATCTGCAAATTTAGGACACTTAACATATTTCTTATTTAGCACGGAATATCGGGAACACCCTGTACAATAGGTGAAAACCTTAAATACAAAAGTTTTAGCTGTCTATGCGGGCTATATCGCAATGTAAAAGAAAGTGAGATCCGAATCATAATCTTTCAGTTATAAACCAATTTTCAATAATGGGAGAGCCGTTTTTGAGCTTTTATGAATTTGCGGTCCACCCTGAAAAAGTTGTCAAGAATAAAAATTTATGGAGCCGGCGTCGAGGCCATTTCTTATAGGCTTATGTGTCTTAATTTTGTAGCTTCCAACGTTTTAAAAGTTATTCGGGAAAAACCAAAAGACAAGAACGGAGAACGGACAGACAAAAATATCTTTTTTTTTTCTCGACGCTGATCATTTTTGTACCAATGCCGATCCCATGGGACCTACCGTTACCGAAATATAAAAGTTTTATATGAGTGTAGATACTTTCGAAAAATGGAATTTTTCGAAAGTAACAGATTTAGAAGTACAGTACAAAGTTGTGCTGAAGTTTCATATAATTATTGTGTTTATGTCGAACAAAGTTGGACCTAGCTCTATTTTACGACTCTTTGGACATTTGGGCACTTTGGTACTTGCTTTAATGTCACCGATGAGGGGATACCTGTGAGTTAAATTTTTAATATTTTATGACCTTTATAGTTACTGAGCGACTATACAAAAAATAATCTAATTGTTATACTTTATGATTTAGAACATTTCGTCGAAGAGATCTGATATTTTGAAAGTTTATGGTCGATTAAACATCACATTTGCAGAGTTATTTTGTGATGACTTCAAATTTTGACTTGTTTAGTCTTAAAAAATAACACCAGCTGCAAGCGAAAACCGTCTAAAATTTAACTTTTAATTCCAGATGGTCGATGATGCCGACAACTCTACTTTACCACCGGTAAGTGTCATAAGTAGTAACTTGGTTTTAGCTTTTAAAAGATCGTTTCGTCCTATATGCAATATATTTGAATTTTGCGTATTTTATTTCAAATAGAACAAAATATGGGTATCCTATAGTGTAAACTATATAAAATTACTGATTACTTTCAAACAGAGTTCATAATTATATTTGGTGTAATATAATCCAGGCCAGCAGGTTGGATATTGGCCTCTACCTTTCTGTAATTAACAACCTCAGATGATGGATACTCTCTGATCTGACTTGGTTGACGGCTTATCCTACAACTCCCGTCTGTTAAAGTTCCAGACAGCATTTTTGCCTTCTTTTAAATGCCAAGTGCATATCGCTCAGCGGAAGTCATCGAATACTATCACAGAAGCTGTCTGATCGTCTATATTCGGCAGTGAAAAGCCTTGTCGTTGTTAGAGTGTTATCAATTAACTGAATTCAATATCATTCAAGTTGGTGTTATATCGGTGGACGTAGTCCGTTTCCACCCATCATAGGTAATGAAGCCACATACATTAGAAATAGTTTAGATGAAAAAGATCAAAATACCGCCCTCAGAGTCGGAGAACTCAGGCCCAAGACAAGGATGCATGCATAGTCGAAAGGGATTGCAACTTGTGGACAGAACAGACTGGTCAGTAAAAATTAGGTTCTGGCCATAATCGTCAATATGACGAAGCCATGTGTCATAAGCAAAAAAGAAACTGTCAACCTACAATCAATCAAAAACCTGTGAAACTCATAGGATGGGTAAACGTACCTGTCCAGGAAGGCCATCATATAACACCTAAGAAGCATCTTGGTTAGTTGGTTAGATGCTTCTTTGGTGTTATGTGCTCACCGTATTGTTCTATGGTCTCGAAGCTTGAAAATACACTTGGAATCGCTGTTTTGCACAATATTAAAAAAAGTTAGAAGTAGGGGTAGGGGGTAAACCAAAAAATGTTTTGGCAGATGTAGAATTTCTATTTCGGACAGTAGTAAATCAGTTCAGAATAGGAGGTCATCCGCAACATACATGAAGCTTTAGAAGAAGAGAATTGTTCACTCAGATTCATGCAGAGACGGCCACCGCGTGTAATTTCCGCGGTTTCCTTTGCTAAAATTGAAAAAGTAAAGAACAAGCGTTCGGGCACAAAAACAGAAACAAAAAAATGGCGGCGTCCCCTTAATTTATTCAAGGTTCACTGTGACGCCATTCAACCTCTTAGAAGAGCAATTAGTTTATCTGGAAACACAATTTTTAACTTTCCGTAATTGTGAATATGCGTTACGTTTATTGTGTCACGGCGGAAGGCCGATCTCCATTTCAATTTCAATTTATAAACTATTACCGTTCGGTAATTGGCGTTTAATGGGCGTCGGTAGGAACGGGCAATAAAAGAGAAAAAAAAATGCCGACGTATATTTCAGAAGATTTGGGGTCGGCAATTAGGGAGGGCAAAGTTGACGCGCGTCCTTCATATTTATCGACGGGGGAGCAATTGCTGTTTTTGGCAATCGTTTTTGTTATTTCCAAACGGCCTTCGCTGTCGTATAAAAAGGTATTTTTTACGCACTCCGACTAATAGGCGCTTAATTAAAGAGTGGAGCAATATCGCGACATTGTAAGCAAATTACAAGGTGCCCTCGCATGGGAAGTAAATATACAGGATATTTGAACTTCAAGTTTAGCAATTTACTAAGCCTTACTCTTACGCTTAGGAATATAAATTGACTAAGTTATGGAATTTATTAATGCATACTCGTCAATTTGAATATTTACGTACGAATTTGCTGCATAAACTATATTAATCGATTATAATGGGTGTTTTTTTTCGATGTATAGAACTTTAAGTGGGCATTACTGTTCAAGATGGCGACCGATTTAACAGCTGTCAAGTGATTTACTCTCAGTTTGGTTGGGCAATTCATCATGAATAGACTCACGCCTGTACAACGCTTGCAAATAGTGCAATTTTATTTCGAAAATAATGGTTCTGTGCGGAACACGTATCGCGCACTATGTCGATTTTGTCGTCGACAAAATCGTCCATCAGATCAGTTAATTCGATTAACCATGGAACGTTTTCGCACCACGTTTACTCTTATTGATAACTCGCATCCCCAGAGACGCCGTACGGTGCGTACAAAAGAAGCTATTGCTGCTGTAGAGCGTAGCATTGAGGAAGACCCGAATGAGTCCATCCGCCACCGAGCACAGGAATTGAATCTGTGTCCATCCACTTTATGGAAGATTTTGCGAAAGGATCTTGGTTTACGTGCTTACAAAATCCAACTCGTGCAAGAATTGAAACCAAACGATCATCAAGTAAGGCGTAGATTCGTCGAATGGGCGCAAAACGAGATTGCCGTTGTTCCCGATTTTCATAAGCTAATTTTGCCGCATGTCGAAACACCGTTACATCCAGAAAAACTGACTGTTTGGTGCGCTTTATGGGCTGGTGGAATCATTGGTCCGTACTTCTTCAAAAACGATGACGGCCAGAACGTTACAGTCAATGGTGATCGGTGTAGAGTTATGATTACTAACTCTTTCATTCCTGAATTGAATAACCATGATGTCCAGGAGATGTGGTTTCAACAAGACGGCGCAACATGTCACACAGCTCGTGCCACAATCAATTTATTGAAAGACACGTTTGGTGACCGCCTAATTTCACGTTTTGGACCTGTGAATTGGCTTTCAAGATCTTGTGATTTCACACCGCTAGACTGCTTTAGTGGGGCTATGTAAAGTCATTGGTCTATGCGGATAAGCCCCAAACGCTTGACCACTTGGAAGACAACATTCGCCGTATTATTGCCGATATACGGCCACAAATGTTGGAAAAAGTCATCGAAAATTAAACGTCCAGATTGGACTACATCCGCGCCAGCAGTGGCGGTCATATGCCAGAAATGATATTTAAAATGTAATGCCACAAGATTATCTTTCGGATAAATAAAATTCATGTCAATCGAATAATCCATCGTTGTTTTATTGCAACTTAAAGTTCTACACATCGAAAAAAACACCCCTTATTTTAGTCGTCTGCCTTGATGAAGAATTATCAAATAAAATGAATTTAACAAGATTAGTGGTTTCATATTGGTTTCATTCATTTGTGGTTTCAATGATGTAATAATAAAAAATTTAGATAAAAATGTATCAACGATACTGGTCTTACTTGACTTGAAAGGTATTCGGTTGCGTGGATCAAGAGTTATTGTGCTACTAAACTAAAGCACTTTGGTTTCACGAATCTATCAGATTTGGACCTTAGTTGTATTTCTTGTACGCATTTGATATGTCTAAAGGAGTTAAATTTTCCCAAATTCATTCATATGCTCACGACACCCCGCTGTTACAAACATTTAACTCAACTAATTATGATAACATCGAAGCTAATCTTAGTTTCGATCTTAAAAGTCTTTCTCAATATAGCAAAAAACATAATCTTAAACCTTATTCTACAAAAACACCAATGATGTTATTTTTTCCCTTTGAAAACTATAATTTTTTGTATCCACATTTCTAATTTATGTAAAAAGACTCATATATCCCTCAAAACGCTCTCTGCAAATACGCATATATTGAATCGTAAAGTACGAAAAAACCCTTTGGGCCTGTATCCTTTTTAAAGTTATATACTGTATTTCAATATGCTATCCACTCATAACCGTAGCTGATAAATCCAGATTGCAAAAAATAAAGGACAGCTGTTCCCGATTCGTTCATGACTTGAGAAAGTTTGATCGTATATCAGAAAATATATTTACATTGAAATGGCTTAAAATTAAATACCTATTTCAATTTTTACTCGCAATTGTTGTATTTAAGGTTGTAAAATATTCTTTACCATACCTGAAAGATTGTCTAGTATTTCGGTATGAAATTCACAATGCTTCTTTAAGGACGAAAAAGATTCTGGATATGCCCCAGTATATATATAATAAATATTTTGAATCCAGTTCAGTTCTAATATTTAGGAAAAAAATTAAGGTCCATTTATTGGAATTACAAAAGTCTCTGTCCTAAACAAATTAATATTATTAATATAATATATTATTAATATTATTATTATTAAAGTTGTTTCATTATTATTGTAATATAATATAATAAGTATTAATGTCGGGTAGCTGAGTTGAAGATCTTAAACTAGACTTCTTCGTTTGAGGTGTGTAACTATATTAGTTTGTATTAGGTTATTTTTTTTTATTTTTTGCAATAATTTAAAATACCTCAATAAAGAATATTATTATTATTATTATTATATTTTCAACATAACCTATTAGATGCAAATAAATTATTTTAGGGCAAAAAGTTTCAGGTCAGCTAGAAAATCATTTGATCTATTTTTAGCAACGCCCTATTATGGGTGTTAGTTATTTTGAGATTGAAAAAAATTATTACAAAAAAATCCCAATATTGGTGGAAGGTAATATTAAAAATCTGTAAAATAGTTGGTGTTGTTGACCTCATGATTTTTTTTGTAGATATCAGTATAATTAGTACATGGTTTAGATCCATTTATTTTAAACATGGATAGTTTAGACTACTACCTGTTCAACAACCTGTCACCAATACGGATATTATAAGTTATTTGTTGTTTCCCATAGCCTTTAAGAAGCAGATGAAAACTTTTAAGAGATTTGTTTTAAAAGTGGGTACTACCATAAGAAACGGCATTTTTCTTTAGTAATTGAAAAGTGACCTCAACTGTTCAGACTGATTAGTGTTTTTTGAATGTTCTATGGGAAGGTGCTTTTAAATTAAGTGCCCATATTTATTAAAAACAAATCATGTTGTGGACATTGACGAGTATTTTAAATAAAAAATTTCATGCCTTTTTAGAAATGATGGTCAAGTATATTTGAAAACGGATCATATTGATTATTAAGTGCTGACTCAAGTGTTTGTTATCAAATCTGCAATGTTGCGATTTTGTTATATGGTCGCGGAATATATTCTTTAAACAAAGAATTTATCCAAATTGGGAATTTTG